CCCCCCCCCCCCCCAAATATAGGGCACATATTTCACGTCGAATTTATTTGAAGGCAGCAAAATCCTTCAACATACATCACGAAAGGTAATTAATTTATTAAGTATAACTGTTTTTAAAATTGCTAAAAAGCAAATCTACCAAATGATGCTAGGTTTAGAAACTCAATAATGATCTTTTCATTTAAGATACTGAAAATTTTCACGGGTGAAAATCAGTATTTGTCTTTCATGTGTATTACCACATAATTAAAACAAAGATTTTTTTTTTAATCTTTCATATGAGAGAAAATGAATATCAAATCCATCTAAAATTAATTTTAAAAATTGATTCTTTTCATCTAATGTACCAAGAAAATTTCGACTTGCTAAAAAAAAGGTTACTTTTATATGTGCTGTTTACATGATTATGTTTTTGTTTGAGTTTCAGATATGAGTAAATAAATATCAATTTTCCATCTAAATTACGTTAAAAAGAAGTGTTATTTCATCGTTATCTTAGTTACACCAAAATGGTCTTTCCCTTCTGTTTCAACCCATTTTCAAGTCAAAATTATAGTATTACGTGAATATTGACATAATCCTAAAAGATGGTAAATGCATGAAAGTTATTCCTTTTTTGGTACTTGATTTGAATTAAAATTTTGAGAAGTTACTAAAATAGTTTTAAATTTTATAACAAATTTGCAAACGACTCTTCTGAACCAACACTAGGGATGATAACTGCCAAACTTCAAACGTTTCTCCATCCTCAGTATATATATAATCTGCCACCAACGTCGTCTTTCTAGTACCACCAACTTTGCATTTCTTATTTCCTTTCATCTGAAAATCTCTGTTCCTTTTTCTTTTTTTGTTGAAAATGACGAACACTGGCGGCAGCGGCGATAAGGGTGTCTCCAAAAACCCTCAATCACCTACTCCCGCCCCTCCTCCTACTTCCCAAAATCCCACTACTCCTACTAGTGGGACTCAAGTGAACCCCACCGCTGGCACCGGGATTTCCACCAGACTCGGTGCCAGTGATGGTGGCAGTAGCGCTAGCGCTAGCGCTGGGATTCCCACCAGACCCGGTGGCAGTGCCGGTGGAAGCAGCGCCAGCGTTGTAGTCAATGTTGCTGTTGCTACTCCGAGGAAGAGAGGAAGCACGTTGGTTGCGGGGGAAGGATCGTCAAGAAGAGGGATGGGTGCGGCCAACCAAACCCGTAGTGTGAGGCCGAATGTTCCTCTACTGATTGCAACCCCACCTGCTGCACCGGCGAATCCTCCTCCTCCTCCTCCTCAGCCGGAGAACACATGCGTGGTGTGTCACAAAGACTTCCATTCGGTTAAAGCTTTGTTCGGGCACATGAATTCACATCCTAACCGTGGGTGGAAAGGTGTGTATCCTCCTCCTACTTTTAACAGGGAGGAGTTTGCTGATCTGCAGGCGCAAATGCAACAAGAAGAAGAAGAAGAAGAAGTTGCCGGAAATGCTGGCGACCCAGCGGTGGAAGAAGCACCTTCCGAAAGGCGCGACGTAGTCCCTGATCTTAATGTGGCTGAACCCGCGGTAGGGGAAGGATATCGTTTGCCAGATTTGAATTTGCCACCACCAGCAGAGAATTAAAGGAGTAGCTGTTTAGCATATGCCGATTGTGGTTGTGGAACAATGAATGTTTTTTTATTTATAATTTTCTGTTTGCATGTTGGTTAGAGAAAGGAGACTTCGATCTGGTGCTTGTAATAAATCTCCGTTAATTTTCTCTTATAAAATATTTTGATATGGTTGTAATGTTACTTTTATTCAGACTTTGTTTCGATGCTTTATTTTTCTCTGCTTACTTTTTTGATCTGTATATGACTTCAATTCGTTTTGATTAAGCTATACATGCATGGAATAATCATTAGGAAATTGTTGTCATCAGAACAGGTTTGAGTCTAATATCTTTAGACTCCAATGCACACTATATATCCAACTGGAGAATTGTCAGATTAACTTTCTAATTTGTTTTACTTTTCTTTTAAAGATATTTAGACTTATTTTGTTTTTAGAAAAATAAATTATGAAGAAAAAAAGAAAAGAAAAGGTGCCTATATATTTAAATGATGTTTCCGTGATTTACTTATTCGAATGGTTGTGACTTTTGGTTGTATTATCTATTTGAATGAATTCAGACTCATTGCAACTGTTTCATTTCTAGCTAGGAGATTGATGTGAGGGAGATCGATTAGCCTACTCAGTGCACTGATTGAAATAATATGTCTACTTTGTGGCCATTTCTTTTATTTTATCATTAAAATTTATTTAGAAATAAAACTTGAACTATTATGAGGCAAAGAAAACGTTTCTGGAAATTAAGAAGATATGAACACAACTCGTATACTGAGATGTGTGTAAATTTGTTGTTGATATATGAACTAACGTTCCCTAAACCATCATTTTTTAGTTCTTGCACTTTATGTAGGAAACTGTTGTCTGCATATCTCGATTGTTAGTATTAATTTTAAACGTTAAATATCCGATTATGAGTTTTCTTATTATTATAAATTAATGTATAGAAAACCTTGATAATTAATTATAGTACAACAATAATATCTAGATTTTTGTACCACAAATATATAAGCACTTTTGTACCACAGTGATGAGGATGATGCCATATATCGCCTTGAGGAGGACGCCTGGTATGATTCTTTTTACCCTCAGGGCGGGGATGGAGAGGATGCTGGAGACCGGGATGGTGATGGTGTCGATGGTTAGGGTGGTGGTGTTGCTAAAGATCGGGCTGCTGAGGATGTTGAGGGTCATGATGGCGATGGCCAGTAGTTCTTTTTTAACCTTTTTGTGTGTTTTTGCTTGGCGTCTCCAAGAGCCTTTGTAACAAACTCTTATCTATGAATATCAAAGTTGACTTTTGCCTTCACTTGTGTCTTTCTTATTTGCCGTGATTTGTTTCTGTACTTGTATGTTTTGCTCCTTTATATTTTTGGTTGTCGTCCTTTAGATGACCGTAGTCCTTGGGCTGAATAGCCATAGGCCGAATCGTCCCTTTATCTATATAGATCGAGTATGTCTCTTTAGCTGAGATATGATCGAGGACCGAAAGGTTTGTTCGAACTTAGTCGATATTAACCTTTTACTAAATCATGGTCGGGAGCCGGTAGATGTTTGTTCGAGCTTAGTCAAACTTTGTCCTTTCGTTAAGTTATAGTTGAGGGTCGGCAGGTCTTGTTCGAGCGTGGTCGAGCTTAACCTTTCATTAAGTCGCGACCGAGGGCCGGTAGATGTTGTTCGAGCATGGTCGAACTTAACCTTTCGTTAAGTCGTGGCCGACGGCCGGTAGGTATTGTTCGAGCATAGTCAAACTTAACCTTTCGTTAAGTTGAGACTGAGGGCCGGTAGGTGTTGTTCGAGTATGGCCGAACTTAACCTTTCGTTAGAGTGATTCTGATAAATATGAATTTCTATTAATTGGAAAAAGTTACAAGTTTTGGGTGTTGGCTAGCGTTCGAGTCCCAGTCCCTGGTGTATCTGGTCCCCATTGGTCGACTTGGAGAGTGTTGAGGAGTCAGGCAATGAAAAAATAAATAAACCAATCCGTTCTTCTTATACTTCGACCTAAAATGTCCCTCTTGTTGCCTCGTTAAAAACCTTCTTGAGAAAACCCAATTGGGACAAAACTCAAGTGAGGGAAAAAAGAGNGTAATTATTTTCCTTCCATTGTCTCTAGTTGGAATGAACCCTTATTCGCTCTGCCTATGATTTTAAATGGTCCGTCCCAATTGGTTCCCAATTTTCCCTCTCATGGATATCTGTTTGCTTGGGTTTTGGTTTTGAGTACGTAGTCCCCGATCTTGAGTGGTCGGACCTTTGCTTTTTTGTTGTAGTGACGTTTCGCCTATTGTTTTTGGGCGACCATCCTTATGTATGCCATATCTCTTCGTTCGTCGACCTCGTCGAGCTCTTGACTTCTAGTCTCGTCATTGCCGGTGCCGCTTTCTTGGGAGTACCTTAGGCTAGGTTCCCCGACCTCGACTGGTATAACTGCTCCAGTTCCTTAGACCAGTGAATATGGTGTTTCTCCTATGCTAGTCTTGGGTGTGGTCCAATGTGCCCATAAGACTTCTGGGAGTATTCTAGCCATAGTCCCTTGGCTTCTTCAAGTTTCTTCTTCATTATATTTAATATGGATTTATTGGAGGATTCTTTCTGCCTATTTCCTGCTGGGTGATAGGGAGTTGAAAGTATCCTCTTGATGTGCCGTTTCTTGAAAAATTTGGTGGTTTTCTTTCCCACGAATTGGGGTCCGTTGTCGCAACTTATTTCTTTGGGTAGGCCGAATCGACAGATGATGTTTTTTCATATGAAGGTGATTACTTCTTGTTCGTGTACTTGGGCGAACGCTCCTGCTTCTACCCACTTAGAGAAATAGTCAGTTAAAACTAAAAGAAATCGTACATTACAGGCCCCGGTGGGAGTGGGCCTACGATGTCCATTCCCCATTTGATAAATGGCTATGGAGAGGTGACTGAATAAAAGTGTTCGCTTGCTTGGTGAATTAATGAGGCGTATTTTTGACATTGCTCGCACTTCTTCACCAATTCTGAGGTGTTTTTTTTCATGGTGGGCTAGTAGTACCCGGCTCATATAAGGCACCTGACGAGTGCTCGATCACCGGAATGAGCTATGTAGTGCCCTTCATGTACATCCTCGAGGACGCGGTGTGTTTGATTCAGACCTAAACACTTCGCTAGAGGGCCACCATACGTTCTATTGTATAGACCGTTACGAAGGAGGCTATAGTTGGCACTTGCATTTTTAGCTTTCTAGCTTCCTTTTTGTCGCCTAGATGAGTGCCATCCTGCAAGTAGTTAATAATACAATTGCGCCAGTCCCAAGTTAAGCTTATAAATTTTACCTCGATTTGGTCTAGTGACGAGTTGATGAGGTGGACTACATTTTTATCCCCAGTCATGATGCTTTTGGTGGCTGCGGCCAGTTTGGCAAGGCCATCTGCTTCGGTATTCTGGGCTCGCGGGATCTGGTCGAGCTGGCATTCGTTAAAATTAGGCAGCAACTTACAGATCTCGGCTTGATATTTTTGCAACCTTTGTTCTTTGATTTGTATAATCCCTACAACTTGGTTGACCACGAGCTGAGAATCACAGCGGAGTTTCAACCTCTTCCTGCCATATTTTAGTTCTAGCCTCAGCCCTGCGATTACGACCTCATACTTGGCCTCGTTGTTAGTCATATCTGGGAATCTTATGAACTAGTGAATTACTTTGACGGTAGGGACCTCAAGTACAAGTATCAGTCCGAATCCGGAATGATTGGATACACCGTCGGTGTACAAGACCCAGAGGTCTTGCGTTTGCAGAGAAGCTCAGACGGCTTCTTTCTCGATCTTGGGCATTACTTTTGCGCTAAAGTCTGCGAGCACTTGCAACTTTATTGTTGTTCGAGGCTGGTATGTGATGTCGCATTCACTTAGCTCAATGGCCCATTTGTCTAGCCTCCCCGACAGCTCGGGTTTAAGTAAAATTCTTCTTAAAGGGAAAGTGGTAACGAATGAGGTAGGGTGGCATTAAAAATAGGGTCTAAGCTTTCGTAAAGCTACGACCAGTGCCATGGTTAATTTCTCGAGGTGTGGGTACCTCGTATTGGCATCGACGAGTGTCTTGCTAATGTAATAAATAGGGGATTGTGTGCATTTATTTTATTGAGCCAGGACCGCACTTACTGCTACTTTGGAGACGGCGAGGTAGATGAGAAGGTGTTCCCCTACTTCAGGCTTCGATAGCAGAGACAGTGATGATAGATACGCCTTTAGTTCTCGCAGGGCTTGTACGCAATTAAGCATCCACTCGAGGCCGTTATCCTTTTTGAGTACGCCAAAAAATCTTTGACATCTATCGGACGACCACAAGATAAATATCGATAGGGAGACGATTCGACCAGTCAACCTTTGGACCTGCTTCTTAGTAGTCAGTTGTTCAGGTATCCCGTCGATAGCCTTGATTTGGTCTGGGTTGACTTTGATCCCTCGTTGTCACACTAAGAAACTCAAAAACTTTCTCGAAGCTATGCCAAATGCGCATTTCTCAGTGTTTAGTTTCATCATGTACCGTCTTAGTATGTCGAAAGCTTCCCTTAAGTAGTCGATATGGCCTTCTTCCCTTATGAATTTGACCAGCATGTCATCGATATATACCTCCATGGTCTTGCCGAGTTGATCTTTGAACATACTTGTGACCAATCTCTGATAGGTGGCTCCTGCATTTTTCAACCCGAATGGCAATACCCTGTAACAATATGTTCCTCTGCGGGTGATAAACGTGGTTTTCTCCTAGTCCTCTTCTTCCATGAGTATCTGGTTATAGCCCAAATATACATCCAGAAAACTCAGCAGTTCGTGTCCAGCCGTTGCATCGATGAGTTGGTCAATATGTGACAACGGGAATGAATCTTTTGGGCATGCTTTATTTAAATATGTGAAGTCTACACACATTCTCTATTTTTCATTTTTATTTTTGACCAACACCACGTTGTCTATCCACTCGGGGTATTTCGACTCCCTGATTGAGCCATTTTCTAACAGTTTCTCTACCTCCTCGTGGACGGCATCA